CATCGACATCAATATCATCATCATCATCATCACCATCATCATCATCATCATCATCATCATCATCATCATCATCATCATCATCATCAGCATCATCATCATTATCATCGTCGTCGTCTGCATCAGTATCAGTATCATCGTCATCAAAATCTTCAATATCCTCATCATCGTCAGCATCATCATCATCATAATCCTAATCCTCATCATTATCCTCATCCTCGTCCTCATCATCATGATCAGCAACATCATCAGCATCGTCATCATCATCATCATCATCATCATCCTCATCATCATCAGCATCATCACCCTGACCATCCTCATCATCTTCATCAACATCAGCAGCACCATCATACGAATCCTCACCCTCACCCTCACCAGCACCCTCATCATGATCATCATCATCAACATGATCATCAACATCATCATCATCATCAGCAGCATCACCACCACCATCACCATCATCAGCATCAGCATCACCATCAGCATCATCATCAGCACCATCATCATCATCATCATCATCATCATCATCATCATCATCGTCATCATCATCATCATCATCATCAGCATCATCATCATCAGCATCATCATCATCATCGTCATCGTTATCATCATCAGCATCATCATGCGAATGATCATCATCAGCAGCAGCCGCAGCCTCATCATCATCGCCATTATCACAAACATCATGGTCCTAGGCATCATCATAATCCTGATCATAATCACCATCATCACCATCAGCATCAGCATCAGCATAATCAGCATCATCAACAGCATCATCATCATCACCAGCATCATCATCATCATCATCACAATCATCACCAGCAGCATCATCGTTATCAGCATCAGCATCATCAGCATCGTCAGCATCATCATCACCAGCATCACCATCATGATCATCATGATCATCATCATCATCGTCATAATCATCATTATCATCGTCATGACCATCATCATCATCATCATCATCATCATCATCATCATCATCGTCAGCAACATCACTGTCATCGTCATCGTCATCAGCATCATCACCTCCACCATCGTCTTCCTCATCCTCATCATCATCATCAGCATCGTCATCATCGTCATCATCAGTAGCATCATCAGCATCATCAGCATCATCAGCATCATCATCATCATCATTATCATCTCCATCGGCGTCGTCATCATCATCATCATCACCGCCATCATCATCATCAGCAGCAGAAGCCGCAACATCATAATCATCAGCAACATCATCAGCATGGTCATCGTCATCATCAGCATCATCAGCATCAGCAGCAGCACCATCAGCATCATCATAGCCAGCAGCATCGCCCTTATCAACACCAAAATTATCATAATCGTAACCATTGTCATCATAGTCATCATCACTACCGTCATCATCGTCATGATCAACGTCATCATCATCAGATGCATCGAAGCCACCATCAGCATCATCATCTTCATCATCATCATGCTTATTATCATCATGCTCATCATCGAAACCACTATCAGCACCATCGCCATCATTATCATCATCAGCATCATCAACATCATCAGCAGCATCGGCATCCTCATCCTTCTCCTTTTCATCGTCATCATCATCATCATCATCATCATCATCATCATCATGACGACCATCGTCATCATCATCATCATCATCATCATCATCATCATCATCATCATCATCATCATCATCGGAATCATCATCATAATCATCATCATAATCGCCATCACCAGCATCGCCATCCTCGTCCTCATCCTCCCTCTCATCATCGCCATCAATATCATCATCATCACCATCATCAGCATCGTCATCATCTTCATCATCATTTGCATCAGCATCATCATCACCATCATCATCGTCATCGTCATCATCAGCATCATCCTAATCAGCATCATCATCATCAGCATCATCACCAGCATTATCATCATCATAAACACCATAATTATCATCACCATCATCATCAGCAGCATCATCAGCATCATCATCCTCATCCTCATCCCCATTATCATCATTATCATTATGATTATCATCACCGTCATCATCACCATCATCGTAGTCATCATCATTATCATCATCAGCAGCAGAAGCAGCATCCGAATCATCTCCATCATCATCAGCATCCTCATCATCACCATCCTCATCCTTAACGACATAATCGTTATCATCATCACCATCATTATAATGAGCATCATCCTCATCACAACCATCAACATCGCAATCCTCATCATCGACATCATCATCCTCATTCTCATCATCATCATCATCATCATCATCATCACCATCAGCAGCATCATCTTCATAATCATCATCATCATCATCATCATCATCATCATCAGCATCACCATCATTATCATCATCGTCATCATCATCATCAGCATCATTATCACCAGCATCCTCCTGATTCTCCTCGTCCGCCTCCTCCTCCTCGTGCGCATCACCGGCGGCCTCCTGGAAATGGCTCCTGAGGTACTGGATCGCCGCCAAACTCAGCTGGTCCTCCTTGGACTCACTGAGCGCCTCCCGCGCAAGCGTGGACTCACGAGGCCACTGCAGAATTTGACACGGTCGCCGTGCCCCCCTTCGTCGTCCTCCTTCTCCTCCTGTTCCTTCTCCTCCCCCTCCTCCTTCCACACCTCATTTATTATCCTTCTCCTGCCCTCATGATCATGCTAATCCTCGGCCGCCTCCTCACCCCTTCTTCCTCCTCCGTTTCCTCCTCCTCATTCCTCCTCCTCATCACCATCACCACCACCAACAACAAAAACAAGGTAGAGGCCTGCCTGTCACCCCCAGGGCGCGGGGTCGGATCCGCCGAATTCACACTGGCGGAGGAGGCCGGCACCGCCCCCGCGGTCAGTTGGCAAGGAGGGGAGGGGGAGAACAACATCACTCAATGCAACCTTAAACCAGGAATCCGTGAAGAATCCCTGGGGAGACCTGGGAGACCCTGAAGAATCCCTGGGGAATTCCGAAGAATCCTGCAAAATCCGGAAGGATCCCTAATGGATACCGAAGGAATCCTGAAGAACCCCTAGGAAACCCTAAAGAATCCCGAAGGAATCCCGATGGGATCTTGGGGAGTCCCGAGGGAACCTTGAAGAATCTTCAAGGAATACGGAGAAATCGTACAAAAAGGATCGTGGGGAAGGAATAAATCCTTGGGGGGCCCAAGGGAATCCTTCAGGGTTTCTGACGATTCCTCAATGAATCGTTTGGACTTTCTTGAGAATCCTGAAGAATCCCTGGGGAGCCCGTAGGGATTTCCCAGAGGAGGAACCCCACATACTTATACTATGTCTGGAATGAGGATAGTTGAAGTGAAACATGCGAAAATGATGTTGGTGGCCGTTGCCCCGCCGATACCGTTGGTGACGCCGGACAAACCTTGGGAAACTGACGCGCCGTGCGAACAGCAGCCAGAGCCATGGCGACCACGGAAGAGAGCAGGGCTGTAGGTAGGCAGGCGGACGGCGCACGAGTCTCGACGCGGTGGCCAGGCGGACGGCGCACGCCGCGGTGAGGGACCACCCCCTGCGCTTTACCTATGTTGTCCAAAAATTGACACTCGTGCTGTGCATGGACGAGTGGGGCGTATAGACACCGCGTTAAGGCACCACCCCCTGCGCTTTACCTATGGTGTCGAGGAAGTGCCACGCCTGCTGTGCATGGACGACTAGGGCGTATAGACACCGCAGCGAGAGACCACCCCTTGCGCATCACCTATGGTGTCGAGAAAGTGCCACACCTCCTGTGCATGGACGACTAGGGCATATAGACACCGCGGTGATTAGCCAGCCTGCCTTGCAAGCCTCGCCAGGAAGGCGTACACAACACGAATCGTGGGTTCAGGATTGGGCTGGCAAAGACCTGTGTAAGCAGAGAACCGGCGCCCCCCGATCTCGGAGGAGCATGGACAATAAATCTCGGTCGGTGGAGATACTTCGAGCGAGCCAAAATGACCGACGAATCATCGCTGCACCTGGGATGCCACGATGAAGTGCGCCGATTTGACTGCTGGGGGCGCGCTCTTCTGGCGCCGCCCCCAGGTAGACGGCGCGCGCATTCAGCTCCAATCAGTCCAGAATTTCAATGAGACGCACCTCGAGGACGGCTGGCCCCCAGCAATAGACACTTTTTGGATCTGCAGGGCGAGAGCAAACTTCTTCCGCTGAAAGCCAGCAATGGACACACAACGCGCAGGGCTGGGAAAGATTGACAGATTGATCCATTGGCAATTGAAGACGCAGAGCCTCAGCAGATTACGCCACAAGAAAAAGAAATTAGTCGTGCGAAAAAACCACAGGCACGTGGGCCAAAACGTCGAGATTTTGAAAGATCGTCGACGAACATGTTATTACGGGGACCCTCCGAGACACTGCACGAATTTACGTGAAGGAGAAGAAGTTGCGGGCGTGTCCTCTCACGACGAGCACACAAAGCAAAAAGACAGCGTTGGTGGGAAAGTGTGATCGATGCATGTAATGTAACACAAGTTATACATTTTCGCGCTCGAATGCTACTATGATGCTGGTAGAAAAGACAGGCACATGCTCGAAAGAAGCCAACAAAAAGCATACGAACCTGGAAAACGCCAAAGACACCCGATCGATGACGGCGGACGAAGCCTCGGCGCATTTGCAAGCGCAGAAAATACCTTTGGATATTTGGCCGGATGCTCTACAACTACACAACCAAAGAGCTCGGAATAAAGCTGCAACGTTTACATGTCCGACGAAGTGTCAAGCAAGAAGAAGGGGCAAAGCGAGAACGTTCGGGAAAGAGAACAATAAACAAAAACAGACAGACAAACAGACAGACAGGAAAGGACAGCACAGAACAGAACAGGACAAGCCAGGACAGGACAGGTCAGCGCAGGACAAGACAGGACAGGACGGACACGACAGGACAAGACATGACAGGACAAGACAGAACAGGACAGGACAGGACAAGACGGGACAGGACAGGACATGACAGGAGAAGAGAGGAGAGGAGAGGAGAGGATAGGACAGGGCAGAACAAGGCAGGGCAGGACAGCACAAAACAGAATAGAACAAAACAAGACCAATGATAAAAGGACAAGCCAGAACGAAAACACAATAAGAAAGGACCATAGAAAACATGGCAGGTCAAGCCAAGCCAAGCCAGGCCAGGGCAAAGGCGCCTGGGCCCGGGTCTGCCCCGGACAAGCCAAGCCAGGCCACGTTAAGTCTGGGCTCGGGCTTGGGCCCGGGCCAAAGCCCAGGCACGCGCCTGGGCCCAGGCCAGGCCAGCTAAGCCACGCCAGGCCAGGCCGCCATACTAAGCCAGGCAAGGCCAGGCAAGCGAAGCCAAGACAGGAAAGGAAATGACAAGCCACGACAGGACACGGCAAGAAAGGACAAGAGAAGAATGAGGACCCAACAAAAAAACAGACAGACTGACAGATTATTCCAGGAACTTCTGGGCTAATCCCAGCTTCACCCGAAATCGCGTCCTGCAATCTGGTTTACCCAGGGAAATCTCGGGAGCGAATGCCGGCTTCACCTGGACCGGAAGTAGCCGCCGGCCTGTTCCATCCGCGGCAGGGCCAATCAAGCAGGGAACGAAACGGAAGCCAAAAAAAACGAAACAAACAGAAGAAGAAAAAAAGAAAATGAAAAAGAAAAACGACAATGGCACGAAACGGAAAGACTAGGCAAACACCACCATTCTGCTCGACGTGAATTTCGAAAAGACATCGCGAGATGCGAACGGCACGCGACGCGAATAAGACAGCGGCCAAAACGGAAGCTGACCAAAAACGCCAGAAAATGTCGGACAGTCCGCCTTGGAGTTTGCGCACGACGGGTCCTCGAACGCGGCTGTCTGGCAGCAAATTATAAAATCGAGCGCCGCCCAACGCGAAACGACAAACTAATCTGGCGCCCAGGCCGGACAGAAATCAACAGATGACGAAAATGCCGACGAAGCGCACCGGGGGGGGGGGGAGGGCAACTTCAAAAAACTCGTGAAAACACGCCGGCCCCTTGCCGAACATCGCCCTGCGAAAACCAAGATTCGCAATGTCTCTGCACGCGCACAAGCGGGCTGAACTAAAATGGTGGAAACCACTAATATCAGAGATGCCATCACTGAAACATGATCGACCCACGAACCCGCAAAGAATTATGGAAATGTAAGACATGGCAACGTTTTAAAGACACCTGATTGGCGACGGGCAAATGCAAAGCTGAGTGTATCGATCTTGATGTACCGTGCCGAGGGCTGTGCTGTACTGCGCCGTGTTGAACTGCGATGTGCCATGCCGCGATTGTGCTCTATAGCGTTGTGGATCGAGTCCTCCTTTGCATCCGAGTCCTGACCGAGGTGATCTGGATCTTAAGCTCGAGCTGCCTGAGCACATAGTAGCTGCCCAAGAGCTAATTCACACGGGGGCATGCTAGGAAGACGCGCCGCGGAAAGTTCCAAGGGACGCGCCAGGCGACGTGTCAGGGGACGTGCCATGGGAACGCACCGCGGGACGTGCCAAGAAGACGCGCTACGGAACGTGCCAATGGCCGTGCCACGGGACGTGCCAGGGGACGCGCCGCGCGACGTGCCAGGGGGACTTGCCACAGGACGCGCCACGGAACGTGCCAAGGAAGGTGACAAGTTACAGTGCTGCGTGAGTGTATCGATCTTGATGTACCGTGCCGAAGGCTGTACTGTGCTGGGCCGTGCTGAACTGCGATGTGCCATGCCGCGATTGTGCTCCGTAGTGTTGTGGATCGAGTCCTCCGTTGCATACGAGTCCTGACCGAATTGATCTGGATCTTAAGCTCGAGCTGCCTGAGCACATAGTCCACATAGTAGCTGCCCCAGAACTAATTGACAGGGGAACATGCCAGGAGGACGCGCCGCGGAACGTGCCAAAGGACGCGCCAGGGGACGTGCCAGGGGACGTGCCACGGGGACGCACCTCAGGACGTGCCAAGGGGACGCGTTACAGAACGTGTTGGGGACAACCGTCGTGCTGGTGGCCTGGCCACGTAAAAACACGTGGTGCCAGCTTGGGACAACCATCTTAGGTACCTCCCCTGGGTGGCCTGGACACATAAAAACACGTGGTTCCAGCTTGGGACAATCATATTAGAGATCTCTCTCGGTGGCCTGAGCATGAAAAAGCATGTGGTTCCAGCTCGGGGCAGCCATGTTAGACACCCCCTGCGTGACCTGGATACGCTGAATTCGCGCTCCCGCTCGAGACATCCTCGCAATGTTTTCCCTGGGGGAGGCCCCCAAAACGCAACCCCCTGTTCAGATCAAGAAACCATCACTTTTCTGCATTGGGACATGTGTTCGGGTAGCGCGGTTCGGCCCCCCTTGCGTTGCCTCATAATTCGGCGTTGGGCCCGACGCCACGCTGGATATCCCCTGTGCGGCGTGGACACGTAAAAACCGTGGTTTCAGTTCGGGACAATCATGTTAGATACCCGACTGGATGGCCTGGACACGTAAAAACACATGGTACCAGCTCTGGGCAACCATGTTAGATACAC